CCGTATTACCAGGGATAAAGAAGGCATTTGACAAGAGAACATAACAATCCCAAATGTTTATATACCTAATAATACAAACTTTAAATTACATAAAACAAAGAAGTATAAAATTTAAAGAGAAATAGACAAGTCTACAATTATAGTTGGAAGTTTCAATACTCCTCTCTCAATATCTGATACAACAAGTAAACAGAAAACCAGCAAAGATATAGTGGACTTAAACAACATTATCAATCAACCTGAATCAATTAACATTTATAGAACACACTACCAAACAATAGCTGAATACACATTCTTCTCAAGTATGCATAAAACATTTACCAAAATAGAACATGTTCAGGACCATAAAACAAGTCTCAATAAATTTAAAGGGATGCTGCTAAAGTAGGGCTTACAGAGAAATGTAAAGCACTACACACTTATATTAGGAAAAAAGAAAGATCACACAGACATTACAAGGACATAAAGCATTACAGATAAAAAGTCAGACCACAAGACAACTACAGACCAATTTCCCTCTTGAACGTAAATGCAAAAATTCCAAACAAAAATTTTAAGAGATCAAATCCAACAATATTTTGCGTGTGTGTGTGTGTGTGTGTGTGTGTGTGTGTGTGTGTGAGAAGATCAGCGCTGTGCTAACATCTGCCAATCCTCCTCTTTTTTTGCTGAGGAAGACTGGACCTGGGCTAACATCCGTGTCCATCTTCCTCCACTTTATATGGGACGCCGCCACAGCATGGCTTACCAAGCAGTGCGTTGGTGCGCGCCTGGGATCCGACCTGGCAAACCCTGGGCCGCCGCAGCGGAATGCATGCACTTAACCGCTTGTGCCACCGGGCCAGCCCCCCAAATCCAACAATATTTTATAAAGACTAATACAGTCTTTATTTTATAGTCTAATATCTTATAAAGTCTAATATATCATGACCAAGTGGGGTTTATCCCAGGAATGCAAAGTTGGTTTAACATTCAAAAATCAATATAATTCACCATATTAGACTAAAAGAGGAAAATCATATGATCATTTCAATAGACGCAGGAAAAGCACTTGACAAAATCTAACATCTATTTCTTATAAACTCTCAGCAAACAAGGAATAGAAAGGAACTTCCTCAGTCTAATAAAAGCCAGCTACAAAAACCCACAGTTAACTTCGTATTTAATGCTTTCCACCTAAGACCAGGAAAACAACAAGGATGTCTGTTCATTATTCAGATTCAAGTTTGCACTGGAGGTACTAGCCAGTTGCAATAAGGCAAGAAAAAGAGATAAAAGGCATCCAGATAGAAAAGAAAGAAGGAAAAGTGCTTCTATTCACAGATGACATGCTCACCTATATAGAAAATCTAATGGAATCTTAAAAAAACAACAAAACCTACTAGAACAAGTGAGTTTAGCAAGGTGGCAGGATACAAGATCAAGAAAAGAAAAACAATTGTATCTATATGCTAGCAACGAACAATCAAAAATTAAATTTACAAAAACAATACCATGCACAAGTAATAAGTAAATGAGAAATACACTGTGTTCATGGGTGGAAGAGAATATTGTTAGGGATTTAATGTAATTCCAATCAAAATCTCAGCAAGTGTTTTTGTAGAAATTAACAACTTGCTGTAAAATTCATAAAGGAATGCAAAAGACCAAAAATAGTCAAAATGAAAGAAGATAGAGCATTAACACTATCTGATGTCAAGACTTATAAAGCTACAATAATCAAGACAGTATTATACTGGCATTAAGATAGACAAATAGATCAATGGACCAGAATGGAGTCCAGAAATAGGCCCATGCATACATGGACAACAGATTTTTTGACAAAAGTGCAAAAGTAATTAAGTGAAGAAAGCATAGCTTTTCAACAAATAGTACAGGAACAATTAATTATGCATATTCAAAAAAAGAACTTTGATCTCTACTTTGCTCCATATACAAAATTAACTCAAAATGGATCATAGACCTAAATGTAAAACTTAAAACAATGAAACTTCTACAACATTACATAGGAGTCAATCTGTGTGACCTTGGGTCATCAACAGCACAATCCATAAAGAATAATTTCAAACTGGATCTCATCAAAATTTAAAAGTTTTGCTTTTAGAAAGATATTGTCAAGAGAATGATAAGCCATGGACCAGGGAAAAATATTTGAAAGGCACATATCTGATAAAGGACATGTATCCCAAATATATACAGAACTCCTGAAATATAATAATAAGAAAGCAAACCAGGGCCGGTCCGGTGGTGTAGCGGTTAAGTGCGCATGCTCCGCTTCAGCGGCCCGGGGTTCGCAGGTTTGGATCCCAGCTCCGCACGGAAGCACCACTCGTCAAGCCATTCTGTGGCAGGGTCCCATATAAAAAGTAGAGAAAGATGGGCACAGATGGTAGCCCAGGGCCAGTCTTCCTCAGCAAAAAGAGGAGGATTGGCATTGGAAGTTAGCTCAGGGCCCATCTTCCTCACAAAAAAAAAAACAAAAAAAGCAAACTACCTAATTTTTTTAAATGGGGAAAAATTTCAAATAGCTATTTTATCCAAGAAGATATATCAATGGCAAACAAGCACATAAAAAGATGCTCAACACCATTAGGGAAATGCAAATTAAAACCACAAGATACCAATACCTATTAGAATGGCTAAAATTAAAAAGACTAACTATACGAAGTGTTGGCAAGGATGTAGAGGAACTGAAATATTCATACACTGATGGTGGGAACGTGAAAAAATATAGACCCTTTGGAAAACAGTCTGCCAGTTAAAGGTACACATACCATATAAACCAGCCATTCCATTCCTAGGTATTTGTCCAGGAGAAATAAAAGCACACATTGATACAAAGGTTTGTACACAAATGTTTATAGCATTTCGTAACAATGGATGAGTAAGTAAACTGTGATATATGCATACAATGGAATACTACTAAGCAATAAAAAGGAATGAACTATTCATATGTGCTACAACATGGATGAATCTCAAAATAATTATGCTGAGTGAAATAATCCATTAAAAAAGAGTACATACTGTATGATTCCATTTCTATAAAATTCTAGAAAATGCAAGCTAATCTATAGTGACTGAAAGCAGATCAGTGGCTACCTGGAGGTGAGAAGGGGGATAATGGATACGTTCGTTTTCTTGATTTTGGTGATAATTTCACAGGTATATACATATGTCAAAACTTATCAAATTGTACACCTTAAGTGTGTGTACTTTATTATCTCAATGATATATCACAAAAGCTGTAAGAAATTATCTCTGTTATTATCCTTAAAGCCAGTGGTGGTACACATCTTGACTGAACACAAAAGGGTGCTCTTCCAATAATTCTTTTGTGGCTGATGCCCTAAAAAGCTTCTGATGATAATATGGTGAAGGGGCACACAGGTTCCAGAGTACACATTCCTAGCAGAGTAAATAACTATTTCATATCCAATAAGAGAAAAAGGACACTTTGCCTTCCATGAATAAATTCATGAGATTTCCACTCTAAACCACAAATCAGATATCTATCCTAAATTATATTATTTTACAACTTAACAAAAGGAGACTATTTAGAGAGTTTAAAACAAAGCTGGTATTTTTCTTTGCCTTAAAAAATTTTCTAAAAGTTAATAAGAATTTAGGGTATTTTCTATATTAAGAAAACAAATCTCTAGTGCTATCTGAGCCAGAAGAAAATTTTAGTCCAACTTTAGTTTTAAGACCGACTCCTCCAAAAAAGACTCGAATACTTTTGTTAAGCAATTTTGATAAACAAGGAGCCAAAAACTAGAAAATAAACATTCTTAATATGAGAAAATATTTAAAATTTTGAATATTGGGGCCAGCCCGGTGGCGTAGTGGTAAAGTGCGCATGCTCCACTTCGGTGGCCCGGGGTTTGCGGGTTCAGATCCCTGGCACGGACCTACACACAGCTTATCAGCCATGCTATGGCAGGCATCCCACATATAAAGAAGAGGAAGATGGGCACGGATGTTAGCCCAGGGCCAATCTTCCTCAGCAAAAAGAGGAGGACTGGCAACAGATGTTAGCTCAGGGTTAACCTTCCTCACCAAAACAAATAATCACCAAGACAAAAAACAACAAATGTTGGAAAGGATGTGGAGAAACAGGAACCCTCATACACAGCTGGTGGGAATGCAAACTGGTGCAGCCTCTATGGAAAACGGTATGGAGATTCCTCAAAGAATTA